ATTGCTGTGGCTAGGACTTCCAGTACTACGTTGAATAAAAGTGGTGAGAAGGGGCATCTAGGTGGTGCAGTTGGTTAAGCATCAGACTCTTGGCTTCAGCTAAGGTAGTGATCTCAGGATCATGGGATTGAGCTCCATATCAAGCTCTGCACTCAATGTAGAGTCTGCTAAAGTTTCTCTCTCCCTTCCGCCCCCTCGGGTGCTCACTCATGCATGCTCTCAAAAATAAATAAATCTTAAAAAAAAAAAGTGACAGTGGACATCCATGTCTTATTCCTGATCTTAGGGAAAAGCTCTGTTTTTCACCATTATGATGTTGGCTGTGGGTTTTTCATATATGGCCTTAATTATGTTGAGGTATGTTCCCTCTAGACCTAATTGCAGAGGGTTTCCATCATGAATGATTTGTAATTTGTCAAATGCTCTTCCTGCATCTACTGAAATGATCATATAGTTTTTATCCTTTCTCTTATTGATTTATCACATTGATTGTTGCACATATTGAACCAGCCTTGTGTCTGGTAATAACTCTCACTTGGTTGTGGTGAATGATTTTTTTTTTTTTTAATATACTGTTGGATTGGGTTTGCTAATATTTTGTTGAGGATTTTTGCATCTATATTCATGAGAGATACTGGACTGTAGTTCTATTTTTTTGTGGTATCTTTATCTGGTTTTGGCCTCATAGACTGAATGTGGAAGTTTTCCTTCCTCTAATATTTTTTGGAATAGTTTGAAAGTAATAAGTATTAGCTCTTCTTTAAATGTTTGGTAGAATTCACCTATGAGGCTGTCTGGTCCTGGACTTTTGTTTTTTGGAAGTGTTTTGATTACTTGATTCAATTTCATTAATGGTAATTGGTTTGTTCAAATTTTCTGTTTCTTCCTGCTTTAGTTTTGGTAGGTAATAGGTTTCTAGGAATTTATCCATTTCTTCTAAGTTGTCCATTTTGTTGACATAAAGGTTTTCCTAATATTCTGTTATAATTGCATTTCTGTGGTGTTGGTTATTTCTCCACTTTCATTAGTTATTTTGCCTACTTGGGTCCCACTCCCCTTTTTTTAAGGAATTTGGCTAAAGGTTTATCCATTTTATTGATCTTTTCAAAGAACCAACTCCTTGTTTCATTGATCTGCTCTATATAGTTTTTTAGTTTCTATTTTATTTCTGCTCTAATCCTTATTATTTTCTCCCTCCTACTGGTTCTGGGTTACATTTATTGTTTTTTTTTTTTTTTTCTGGCTCCTTTAAGTGGAAGGTTAGGTTGCTTTGAGATTTTTCTTGCTTCTTGAGGTAGGCCTGTATTTCTATAAACTTTCCTCTTAGAACCACTTTTGCTGCATCCCAGAGATTTTGGACTGTTGTGTTTTCATTTTCATTTGTTTCCATGTAATTTTTGATGTCCTCATTGATTTCTTGGTTGACCCATTCATTGTTTAGTAGCATGTTATTTAACCTTCATGTATTTGTATTATTCCCAGATTTTTTTCTTGTGATGGATTTCCATAGTGTTGTGGTAGGAAAGATCCATGAGAGTACTTTCATTTTTTTTTTCTTTTGTTGTTTTTGAAACTTGTTTTGTGGCCTAACATGTGATCTATTCTGAAGAACATCCCATATGCACTTGAAAAGAATGTGTATTCTGCTCTTTTAGGCTGGAATGTTCTGAATATGTCTGTAAAATCTATCTGGTCCAGTGTGTCATTCAAAGTCACTGTTTCCCTCTTGATTTGCTGTTTGGATGATCTGTCCATCAGTGTGAGTGAGGTATTAAAGTCCCCTATTGCTACTGTATTGCTATCAATTACTTCCTTCGTGTTTGTTATAACTGTTATGTATTTGGGTGCTCCCATGTTGGGTGCATAAATATGTACAATTATTATATTTTTTGTTGGATTATCCCGTTAGTATATAGTGTCCTTTGTCTCTTGTTACAGTCTTTGTTTTAAAGGCTATTTTGTCTGATATAAGTATTACTACTCCAGCTTTCTTTGGACTTCCATTTGCTTGATAAATGTATCTCCATCCCCTTACTTTCAATCTGCAGGTGCCATTCAGTCTGAAATGAGTCTCTTATAGGCAGCATATAGATGGATCTTATTTTATCTACTCCATCACCCTATGTCTTTTGATTTGGAGTGTTTAGTCATTATGTTCAAAGTAATTACTGATAAGTATTGCCAATTTGTTACTTATTTGTGGTTGTTTCTGTAGATTTTCTCTGATCCTTGCTTTCATGGTTTATTGGCTTTCTTCAGTGATATACTTGAATTCCTTTCTCTTTATTCTTTGATATGTTACTGGTTTTTGATTTGTGGTTACCATGAGATTTATATATAGTATCTTCTGCATATAGCAGTTGATGGTCACTTAAGTTCAAACCCATTCTTTACTCTTCTCACCCCACAAATTTTAGGTATATGGTATTTTACATCCTTTTATTTTTTGTGAAACACTTGACTGATTTTTTTTTTTTTACAGAAATACTTTTTACTGCTTTTGTGTTTTCCTACATTTCATACTCTCAACTTAAGGTCTTTCCTTTCCATTCAGAGTCCCCATTAATATTTCTTATAGAGCTGGTTTAGTAGTGGTCAGGAACTCCTTTTTTGTTTGAGAAAATTCTCTCTCCTTATATTCTGAACAATATCCTTGTAGATAGGAGTATTTTTGGCTCTAGATTTTTCCCTTTCAGCATGTTCAATATATCCTGCTACCCCCTTCTGGCCTGCAAAGTTTCTGCTGAAAAAGCTGCAAAATTTTTTCCCTTATTGCTATTTTTTGCCATTTTAATTACTGTGTGTCTTGGTGTGGAATTCCTTGGGTTGAATTTGGTGGCGTCTGGGGGAGATCTCTGTGCCTCCTGGATGTGGACATGTGGATCTCCTGGATGCGTAGGGAATTTTTCAGCTATTTGTTCGAATAAATTTCCTGCCCCCCTTTCTCTCTCTTCTGAGATCCCTATAATGCAAATGTTATTTCGCTAATGGAGTCAGTGAGTTCTCTAAGACTATTCTCAATCTGCGTAATTTTCTTCTCTTTTGTTCAGCTTAGTTACTTTCTATTACTCTTCCAAGTCGTTATTTTTATTTCCTCTTATCTAGCCTCCTCTATGTTCCATCAAGTGTATTTTAAATTTCATTTATTGTGTTGTTCATCTGATTCTTTTGTATCTTTGCGTTAAGGGTCTCACTGATGTCCTCCACTCTTGTCTCAGGTCCAGTGTGTAGCTTTATGATCATTACTTTAAATTTTCTGTCAGGCATACCACTTATATCTATTTTGCTTTGATTTCTTGCCGTGGTTTGGTCCTGTTCCTTCATTTAAGAGCTATTTCCCTGTCTCCTTGTTTTGTCGGACTTCCTATGTCTATTTCTTTGTTAGGAAAGTCAGCTACTTCTCTTGCTCTTGACTATAATAGCCTTATGTAGAAGAGGTCCTTTCGTGCAGTGTTCCTTGTTCTCCAGGGCCTGGTGCTTCAGGGAATGTCTCCTATGGGTGTTGTGTGTGCTCTGCTGTTGAGTCTTGCCCTCTTTTTTCTTCAGTCCGGTTGTCTGCAGAGGCTGTGTTTGCCTATTGTGGGCAGCGTTTAACAAGGTGTGTGGTGGTCTGTTAGTGAAATGAGACCTGCTCCCGCCAGAACGGAGTTCCTGCACGTGCCAGTCAGATGTGGTGTTGGCGGGGTTTCCATGGGTCTTCTCAGGGAGGGGGCCCAGTGACTGGACTAAGGTGATCATGACTGGGAAGGGTAGATCCGCACAAGTGTGGGTGGGGCTTGGTGTAAGCAAGTTAGGTAACAAATGTTAGTGCTGCAGTGATTCCTGCAGGTATCCGTTGTTTATGTGGTGGGCAGGGGAGGGACCCTAGAGGGGTCTCCCTGTGATCCCTCTCTCCAGGCCATGCTCTGAGATGAACAAATCACTCTCCTTCCCATCTACCGCTGGTGTTTTGCAAACTGCTGGTTCTATGCTGTATCTGTCCAAGACTCTCTAGGGGCGGGAACTCTGCTTCCTAATGCCCTCCAGGCTCTCCTGGAGCTGAGCCCGTTGATTTAAAAATTCCTGCCTCTTAAGTCCCAGTGGTTGTAAGAACTCAAGAAATTGGCCTCCTCTCACTTTCAAAGGCAAATATTATGGGGATTTGTCCTCCCCATTTATGGGCTCCCCAGTGTGAAAGTCTATTTTCTGTCCTTTGTGCCACTGTTTCCCTTCCCGCTGTGGATGGCCCTAGTCCGCTTTGCTCCTGGACCACGTCTTTGTCCTTTCTACCGTCTTTGACGTGGCCTCTTGTCTACCATTTATTTAGTTGTGGAGTTTATCCTGCCAGTCTTCGCATCATCTTTTGGGTTTTTACTGATGTGAGTGTTACCCACTTGTATCCATGGGGCAAGGGGAGCCTAACATCCTCCTACCCAGGCATCTTCCCAGCTGACCCTCTGCCCCACCGGTCTGTGTGCCTATCGATATCCTACTGTATTGCTTACTGTAGCTTTGTGTGATAAGTTTTGAAATCAGGAAGTGTTTTTCAGAATTGTTTTGGATATTTTGGAAATCCTTGTATTTCCCTAGAAATTTTAGGATCAGCTTGAAAATATTTCAAAAAAAGCCTACTGGGATTTTAAAAGGGATTGCATTGGTCTATACCAATGTGGGGAGGACTACCATCTTAATAACTGAAACTTCTGATTCATAAACGTGGACTATCTCTATGCCTTCTTTAAGGTGTTTTATAGTATTCATTATGCAAATTTTTTTTTTTAAGATTTTTATTTTTATTTATTTGAGAGAGAGCATGAGCAGGGGAGAGGCAGAGGGAAAGAGAAAGGGAGAAACAGACTCTCTGCTGAGCAGGGAGCCTGACGTGGGCCTTGATCCCAGGATCCCGGGATCAGGACCCAAGCCAAAGGCAGATGCTCAACCAACTGAGCCACCCAGGTGCCCCTCATTGTATGTTTTACACTCCAGTTATTTTTAAGGATTTTTTTTTTTTAGAGAGCAAGTGTACAAGTAGGAGGGGCAGAGGGAGAAGGAGAGAGAATCTCAAGCGGACTCTGTGCTGGGCATGAGCTAACCCACAGCTCGATCTCAAGACACTGAGATCAGGACATGATCTGAAATCAAGAGTCAGACGCTTAACTGACTATGCCACCCAGGCACCCCACAAGTCTTGTACTTCTTTTGTTAAATTTACTAAGTATTGAATTCTTTCTGGTGCTACTGTGAATGGAATTTTCTTCCTTTTTGGATTTTTCATTGCTAATATACAAAAACAGCTGATTTCTGTACATTGTAGCCTGTGACTTACTGAACTTGTAGATTCTTGTCCATTAAGCTCCTCACTCCATCAGGCTGCTTTCTGGACCCTTTCCATGGTTAGACTTCTAGCAGCTGTCATTTCCTCCAGTGTCCAAGAGTGTAGATCTGATTCTTATTTTGTTTCTTGGCCCTCCAGTAAGGCTTCCCAAATTGTCTAAGGGCCCCCCCCCCCACCACCCTTAACCACTCTGGAGGCCTTGTAACTTGCATGCTTGACAGACATTTTGAAAAAGCTGTGTAAATTTTGAAAACAAACTAGTTTCCTTTTTTTAGTCGAGTCCAGAAAATTCTGGAATACTCCTGTTTTGGACTTGTAAGATTACACTGCTCAGGACCATTTTACAGCACAGTTTCTTTAAAAGAATAGTGACTGACTAGACTTCCAAAGGCTTCATCTTAGGTTGCATTTATTGAACTCTTCACTGTTTTAAGAATCTAGAGTTTAGATTGTGAGGCCAAAATGGGAATGTTCTCAAATGTCTCTCAACCAATAAATAAGATCAATATTTATTAACGTTTCAACTTAAGATTTCAATTTTCATTTTCAAGTAAATAAAAATACTATGTCTTACAGCTAGGGATGCAAGGACTTGGTTATCCTTGTTGGAAAAATGGTTCTCCTCTATCTAGGGGAAGTCACTGTATAGTTAGGGACCGGGAAGCAGGGGACTGAAATCTAAAGAGGTCTTTCTTGGAACAAAGCTAGTTATCAGTTACCACCAAAACATTATTGTAGCTAGAATTCCAGAAATGATGAATAGACGATCATCTTCTATTCGGTCTTCATGGATTATACCTGTGAAGCAAAAAAGACAGTTTGGATAAAACACCTAAAATATTTTACTAGCTTTTGGGAACAACACTGTGTGTTGTTTTCCCAATATACATTGCATTTTTTCCTCATTATGTAGCAATAGTGACTTATGTGGAATAGACCCAACTCACATTCAGCTTGAGGGAAGGCTGTGATGGGTCTAGGTCAGCAAGAAAATCTTCTTTTCTCTCCCATGCTTTGTCAGGATGATTGGGTTAATTTATAGCAATCCCATGGGCATGTGTTTGGTTCAGGGGTGCCCTCAATTAGTGTGAAGTTCAAGACTCTTACCCAGACATTGGAATATACTACATACGAAGCTGGGAACTCCTGAACAATTTTGCCACTCAGCTTCGAAGATGGCCACCAACGACCCTTGGCTCTAGTATTCATGCCATTATGCAGTCCTTTCACCTTGAATGTGGGGTGGACCTAGTGATTAATTTGTAACTTGTCATGGAAAAAGTGATGGGATGTCACTTCTGAGATGAGTTACAAAAAAGCTGTGGCTTCCATCTTGCTCACTATGAGGGTAAGGCACATGACAAGTACAAGATGCACTATGTAGAAGTCCCTGGACGACAGCCAGTGAGACACTGAGGCCTTGAGCGCACCAGCCTCTGAGGAACTAAATCCTGCCAACAACCACAAGAGTGACCTTAGAAGGGGATTGTCCTCTAGTTGGGCCTTCAGATGACACTGTAGCCCTAACAGACAGCTTCACTGCATACTCAGGAGAGACTGTGAGCCCGAGGCCCAAAGCTAAACTGTGTCCAGATTCCTGACTCATAGAAAGTGTGAGATAAAAAGTCTTTGGCGTAATCTGTTAAGCAGCAAAAGTTAACTATCATTCTATCATAAGAAAAGCTGGAGGGCGCCTGGGTGGCTCAGTCGGTTAAGCGTCTGCCTTCGGCTCAGGTCATGATCCCAGGGTCCTGGGATCGAGCCCTGCATCGGGCTCCCTGCTCAGTGGGGAGCCTGCTTCTCCCTCTGCCTCTCATGAATAAATAAATAAAATCTTAAAAAAAAAAAGCTGGATTATATTTGCAACTGAAAACACATTAATACCTTTTCAATATTAAATTACTATTAGCAAGTATATTAGACATTAGTCATTATATACAAGTGAACTTATGATTTATAAAAATCATGTATAGAGAAAAAAAAACTACCTATTCACAACTCTCTTTTTCTCATAGGGAAAATTATGTATGAGGGCTCAATTCATTCAGAATCCCTTATAATACTGAAGGTTTGGCAAAGGTTTACTTTTGATGATTTACATTGTTTATGTGTGTAAGTAAAAAGTGATCACAGAGGAAACTTAAAAACATCTACTGGTGTGAAAGTACTTTTGAGGACTTTCAATATCTGTTTATATACAAGTTTTAAATATGCTAATAAAAATGATTCTTACTGGGTACTTTTCACGAAAGCAGATCTGGAAGGACCTCTGGTTAAGACTTTTTTTTTTTTTTAACCAATTTTCTGTATCTGAAAAAAATTTAACCAATTTTTTTTTATTCCAATTTTCTGTAGCTCAATAAAACAAAGAACTCCAACTTCACTGTATTTTTAGAAGGGCCTCTGAATTAATGCTTATACAGGCCAAACTGAGCTCACTCCCTGAGGAAAAGCTTTTGTTTTACAAGGTTTTCGGGGGAAGCAGGGTCATATGAAAAAGCCAGTGGGTATAAATTGGGCAGGGAAGACAGTGCTGACTTCTTAAATTCAATTTTTAAGCATGTTCAATAAAGGGATGTTCTTTCTTCCCTGGCAAAATTCTTCTCTCAGATATCCTTCTCATATATTTAAAAATGTGCTTGAAGAGTTTTTTGGTTCTGTTTTTACAAAAAATGATATATATATATCAAACATGTTTCTGCAGAGTACACAGGATTGGAGGGAGAGTGAGAGGTGGATTTTCCTTTTCTAAATTAGATATGCACTTTTGTATTTTTCAATTTTTACAACAAGCTTGTATAATGTAAGAAATTGAAATTAAAAAAAAAAAGGAAAATGTTCCCTGGGAGAGTCTCACTTGTAGTTTCAGCTGAATTTCTTCAATCATAACATGAAATCAATACCTATCTGAGCACCTGGGAGAGCAGAGTGAGAAGTGGAGGAAAGGGGAGAGGTTTGCTGAAGGCAGGCTGAAGGGGGGGACGCTCTGATAGTTGTGAAAGAGGCGAGAGCCTGGGAGACGAGGGGAGGGCTATGTGCCGGGGAACAGGGCCAGGGTTCAGCAGTGGGACTTACACATTCATCTAGTTATCTGCCCCGGAGATGACTGAAGTAGGGACTGGGTAGGGGATGGTTTCCTCGGAGACGGAAGTAGGATGAGGGTGTCCTCAGTGGACGGCTGCAGTAGTTAGGTTTCTTCCCAGGAAATAGCAATTTACTTCAACCAGTAAGATGGGACATGAGGCATGGTCTAGGTTTGAGTGTGAAGCTGGTAGGAGAGTTTTCTGGAGTACCAGAAACAGAACTAACTCCAGTAACCTGTAAGGAAGAGTAACAAGGAGGGGGGGGGCGGGGGCAGAAAGTAACAGGAGTGGATAGAAAGTGATAGGGTGGCTGAGAACTAAGGGCTATCATGTTCTTCCTTAGCAAACTGAGGAGATCTTGAGGTCTATACTTGGTTTGTAAAATTTTGAATATGGAAAGAGATCCCAAACAGGCAACAAATGAAAAAACAAAACACAATCTAACTCACCACTCCGTGGTTAACAGCTGGTTTTAAATATGATGGTTAAGCTTTCAAGGTCTTCATTCTTCAAATGTAATTCTTCAAGCAAAGTCTCTATAAACTGTGTAAACACCACATTTTCCTGAGAATGCTTCTGAATGCCAAGAATTGGGGTCAGTCTGAAAAGACCAAAAATATTAAATGCATATCCATGAAATGAGGACTAAGGGGCTCCTGTCTTCTACATAGCAGAGGGGATTTTTGTCACAGCAGAGAAATGAAGTCTTTACTAATAAAGGCAGAGACGAAATCTCAGGAAAAGAATGAAAGATCAAACATAGTGTTAGGAAACCTAAGAGCCTGAATCTATAACATGCTCTTCATTATGCCAGGAAAAGCTACCAAGTTCTCAGAAATGAAAATGAAGTCTTTCCACTTAGGGAAAAGAAGCTGTGGAAAGAAGCTTAGAGATGAGAACTGCTTTAAAACCATACTGAATGTTTATATCACCTGAATAAAAAAAATAAATGATAAATAGGATCACCTTTTGGATGAAACCTTAATATTTTTATTTTATTTTATTTTTTTATATATTTTTTTAAGATTTTATTTATTTATTTGAGAGAGAGAGAGAATGAGAGATAGAAAGCACAAGAGGGAAGAGGGTCAGAGGGAGAAGCCGACTCCCTGCCTAGCAGGGAGCCCGATGTGGGACTCGATCCTGGGACTCCAGGATCATGACCTGAGCCGAAGGCAGTCGCTCAACCAACTGAGCCACCCAGGCGCCCAATATTTTTATTTTTAAAACACTAAATAGATGAATTATATCTTATAAGGCACTTAATACAATCTTCTAAAGAACACTGTGCTTTTCCCAAGTCACTTCCAGTAAACAACTGATTGCATATAATATTCTCAAAAGTAATTTTCAATGAAATGTCATTATACACTTTTTAAGTCATGCTTACTAATCAAAGATTAAGACCATTACTTTCCACAAATTATATATATAACTACATATAATAATTATGTATATATTATGTATAATCTCCAGAGAGCATGCCTTTGTAAGGTATATATCTGGAAAGCTTTTGGCGAGAAAATTCTTTTATCCTTGAGTAGTCTTATACTTACCACAAAGATCTTCCAGATGCTTTTTGAACACTGGTCACTGCCACCAGGCACATCAAATATAAATAACCCTCTGACTTCAATCAATAAAGCTCAAGGAATCAGAGTGGAGCAACTCCACAGTAATGAGTGTGGAAGAGGAAATGTGACGTTCTCAGAGACTTCTTGCTTGCTTAGCCATCTTATACAGAAAGCAGAAGTAAAAGGAAATCTTTGTCACATTGTCTAAAGACAGTCGGGACGTGGAGGAGGTGGTAAGTTCTCTGCATCTCTCAAGGTATCTTAGCAAGAACTGGAGACTAGGTGACTCCAAAAGTCCAGTGAAATCCACAGAGTTCTAACATGGGAAAACCACTGTAGTGTATTCCTTCTCCACCTCTCCTGTATTTCTTTATAGCTGGAGAATGCACTACCAGGTTTTGACATTTTAATGAGCTTTATCTGCAGGTATTCCCCAAAGGTCGTTAGGAAACAGGATAACACAAGCTTTCTAATGCCAAGCCCAAGCTGGGCACTTGGGCAAACTTAGGCATTTGTGGCCAGCTTTTCCTGAGTCATCTTCCTGCCATGAAAGTGGAACCCAGAAGTCAACTCTGGCTTTTCTCACACGAATAAAGTTGCTCTTTCCCCACAATACGAGCAAAGTTACTGGGGATTGGATTACTTCAGCTAAAATAAAACCAAGAAGTCAGGAGGCAGATCAGATCTGTCAACTCCATACAAAGGTAGCTTTTGTGTATATTTAAAAATGGTATACATGGCACATCCAAAACAATTTCTGACTTTCAAAGAGACTAGTATTTAATTCATATATGAAAACAAAGTCTCAATTACTTCTCAAAGTGCCATTAGTATGTTTTAAAATTTAACCCTCAAAGTAGAAGTAAATGTGATAGCTAGATTTCTCAACCTATGTGCCCATATGAGAGCAGAACAAGGGAAGATTAAGAAGCAACTTTTGAGAATCATTCTATCAAGTGCCAGGGTTATAAAATATTTTAGGAACAGTGATACATCTCTAGCAAACTTATAAGGCTAAAGTTATAATAACTTCATTATGTGTTCATAGACACCTAAAAGTTTTGTTTACAAAGGAGGGAAGACAATGATGCAGAAGGACCCTCAGCTAACCTCCTCCACACAGTGAATCTACACCTACAGGTTGAGCAATTCCCCCTGAAGAACTGAGGGCTGACTGAACAGGGCTAGAGAGACCACACAGAGAAAGACATGAGAGAGAGAGACACAGTAACAACAGGAATCCAACCCCCACCCCCGCCACCCCCATCTTGCCAACTGCAGTGGGGAAGATAGTACCCAGAGACCAGAAGTACAGCTCAGCCCTGTGGCAGAGATAAAAAAGACGCACTTTAAAAGAGCACCTAGAATATGAAGGAACCAGCTCTAGAGCATCTGAAAAACAGCAGGGAGCGGCTAGAACACTCTCCCTGGGTCCCAGGTACTGGCCAGCACCATTGTTTATATTCCTTGTCCACCCTGATAGCACAGACGGGAGCTGGCCTGCTGCGCTTCAGTGAGCCTCAGTCCCTTAGGACCCCACTAGCCCCAGTTGCCCTACTGCACAGGAAAAAAAGGCTGTAGATTAAAAGAACAACTGGAAGATAATGGAATGAGTTCTAGGGCATCTGCCAAAAGGCCAGGGAGCTGCTGGAACACACTAGTATCAAAGGTGCTGGTGAGGGCCATGGCTTATGTTCCCCTCCCACTTCATAGCACAGACAAAAGCAGGGTCTGGGCACCCTAGCCACCTGCCACAGTGAGCCCAGGCCCCTAGCCCACCAAACCACACCAAACTCAGCTGCCCCTACAGGTGGCCCTCCAACCATCGCCTGCTAGAGCTCTAGCTGTCTCCCTAAGGTAGCCCCAGTGCAGTGCACACTGAACCACCCCCGGACAGCACCCACTACAGCTCCAGCTGTCTTGCCAAGGTAACACAGGCACAATCATTGTGTGACATCCTAGGCCTGTACCTGCTTCACTTCAGCTCTAGATGACTCATGAGGGCACCCACTGCACCGAGTGGCCCAGGACCTCCCAGCCCATACCTGCTTCAGCAGCAGCTGTCCTGCCAGGGTGCCCGAAGTGCAGAGAGCCCTGAGACCTCCTGGCTGGCATCTGTCTTCGCTCCAGCCATCCTGTCAGGGTACTCCCTGCATGGAGTGCCTCGGGACCCCCAGGCCCACACCTGCTTCAGCTCCTGCTGTCCCATCAAGGAGCACTCTACATGGAGCACCCTGGGACTCCTAGCCCAAGGCCACTTTGGTTCCAGCTGTCCTGGTGTGGCATCCCCCTGAGCAGAGTACCCAAGGACTACCTGGTTATGCTTCAGCTCCTGCCACCTTGCCAGGACGTCCCATACTGCAGAACACTGTAGGACCCACTCCCATCCCCTGCTGCCCGCTTTGGCTCCAGCCATCCCACCAAGGTGCTACATGCATGGGACACCCCAGGACTCCCAGCCTACACCTGTTACGGCTTCAGCCAGCCAGCTAAAGTCACAGGCATAGTCTACACCAGAGATATTCCTACACAAGGCCATTACCTCACATCTAAGAGAAATAGCTGTTCTGCCTAATTCAAAGAAACAGAAAATCAAACAAAATGAGATGGAGGAATATGCTTCAAAAAAACAAAGCAAAATTTCAGGAACAGAAACAGAGCCAAGCAATCTATATGATAAAGAATTCAAAGTAATAGTCATAAAGATGCTCACTGGACTTGAGTGGATAAACTCTGAACTTCAACAAAGATAAAAAGTATAAAGAACCAACCAGTTGAAGAATAAAGTAACTGAAATGAAAAATATACTAAAGGGAATCAACAGTAGATGAGAGGATACAGAAGAAAGGATCAGCAATGTAGAAAACAGGGTAATGAAAAGCATCCAAGCTGAACAGCAAAATCCTAAAAGGATTTTAAAAAATGAGAATAAGTTAAGAGATCTTTAGGACAATATCAAGTGTACTAACATTCACTTGATAGAGGTCCCAGAAAAAGGGGAAAGAGAGAGAGAGAGAAAGGGGCAGAAAATTCTTAAGAAATAATAGCTAAAAACTTCCCTAACTTGGGGAAGGAGACAGACATCTAGGTCCAGGAGGCACAGAGAGTCCCTAACAAGATGAACCCAAGGATATCTACACCAAGCCATATGATAATTAAAATGTCAGAGTAAAGATAAAGAATCTTAAAAGTAGCAACCAACAGAAAAACAACTGGTTACGTGTAAGGAAAACGCCATGAAGCTATGAGCTGATTTTTCAGTAGAACTTTTGCAAGCCAGAAGGTAGGATATAATCAAAGTGCTGAAAGGAAAAACCTACAACCAAGAATATTCCAACTAGCAAGAGTATTCAGAATAGAAGGAGAGAGAGAGTCTCCCAGACAAAAGTTAAAGGAGTTCATCACCACGAAACGAGCCTTACAAGAAATGTCAGAAGGACTTCTTTAAGCAAAAAAAGATAAGTCATAATTAGAAAATTATGAAAAGAAAAAAATTCATAACTGAACATAAAATTAATAGGTTGGTCACTAAAAAAGCTAGTATGAATATTAAAAGACAATAGTAGTAAAATCACCAGACATTTTTCTAAAAAAGACATATAGATGGCCAACAGACATATGAAAAGATGCTCAACATCACTCATCAGGGAAATGCAAACAACCACAATGAGATATCTCACACTTGTCAGATGGCTAAAATAAAAAACTCAAAAAACAAGTGCTGGTGAGGATGTGAAGAAAAAGGAACCCTCGTGTGCTGTTAGTGGGAATGCAAACTGGTGCAGCCACTGTGGAAAACAGTATGGAGCTTCCTCAAAAAGTTAAAAATAGAACTATCCTATAATCCAGTAATTGCACTACTGGATATTTACCCAAAGATTACGAAAATACTAATTTGAAGGGATACATGCACCCCTATGTTTAATGCAGCATTATTTACAATAGCCAAGATATGGAAGCAACCCAAGTGTCCATCTATAGATGAATGGATAAAGAAAATGTGGTACACACACACAGTGAAATATTA